AAACCGGCTGTGTAATATTAAAGCCAAACAAACCATCACAAGACTTACCTGAACCAGCTGCAGAAGGTACCGAAGGACATCGTCGTCACCAAGAGTCTCCAACTTCCTGACAGCCATAGTACGCACGTTTGCATCGGAAAAGTGGCAGTCCAATAGCTGCATAGCTAACCCCACGTCTAGAGGGCTCTGGTCCCATGCGGTGCTTCTCTCTAAAAGGCGGTGTGTGGCCATGACGGCTTCCTGTTTTCCCCATTTCACAGAGCCGAGAAACTTCGGGTAGGCCGTAGGATGCCGCACACACTCGTGTCCGAAATGCCAGAGGAGTTCCTTATCTTCCACACTGAGTGGATGCAGAGGGTCGGTAGCCACGATTTGATCAAACTGCTTTCGCAGATGGTTAGGCATCTCTCTTTTCCCCCGCTCTCCGTCCGTTTCTGGTGTATCTCGAGAGTCCCTGCTCTTAGGCAAAGCGACTGGGTAGCAATACTTGTCCAGGAGCACTGCGATTGCCATGGAACTCGTTTTGTCGGGATTGGTGGCAGAAGTGAGTTTATCTGCATTAACGCTACTGTTATCCTCACTTTTCTCAGGCATCTTCCACATGTGAAGGATGAACTCACCCTGTCTGAGTAAAGACCTATGGTCCACCACTAACAGGTTTACGTAGTAGAGCAGGCGGTTCTTGTTCTTGCAGTCATGAGAAACGTTGTCTTTCGAGGTCTGCGTTTGGGCTTTACCACAGGACACCTGCAGGTTCAGCCGGGCGCCCTTGGGCAAATCTTTTATCTTAATGTTGAAGTCAAGCCAGGTATTCCACAACACTTCTTCGGTGAACGGCTTCGAGGACGTCCTCTCCTGAGCTAGCAGCTGCTGCCCGTGGAAAATGCTGGCCTCCACAAAGATGATCAGATCTGAATTACGAGGCAGGACCGGTATATCAATCCCCAGAATTTTGACTCTGAACTTGCGGTTGCAGTCCCAGAGCGAGACGGTGAACACCTTCTCGTGGTCTTTCTCATTAATCGTCAATTGCTCGTGTGTGCCAGCAACACCAGTGCAGTCGTCCACCTGTGACCAATCCTCCTTTTGGACCACATCTTGTTCAGGGTCTGGTGGGGATTCAAGCACCAAATGGATCTCTTCTCCAGTTTTGAGTGACTGTCGGATCCAGTGGAAGTCTTTGATGGGATAGTTTCCGAAAAGATACTCGTCTCTTCCGCAAACCCTCAGAACGAAATCGGACTCGTCCGCGTCCTCCGGCATGCCGAGCAGTGCCCTCTTGTTGGTGGTCTTTATGAAGAAACTCTGAAGAACCTGAAAAGGCGTGTCGTCAATTGACACCTTTATTGTCTGACTCGAGGTATCTTTGTGAATCACAATTAGAATGTTGTTGTTGGCGACCTTACTCAGCAGGTAATCGGGTAAGGGTTTGGTGGTTATCCAGGGGTCCATCGAGTAAAGTTTGGGATCTCGGTCAGCCAGTTCGATTTTTCTGGTCGTCAGCAACTTCCTCCTTGTGAACTCCAGCTCGTCGTCATGAACATTACTGACATCGGTGACATCGTAACCTATAAGATGATTTAGGAATTTCTGGTACTGGATGGATTCGTCGGAGGGTTGTGGCCTCAGAACCAGGTAGATTTTCCCAACCTCCTTTTTAAGAGCTTTCCAGTAGCGAATGCAGTCGAGGGTCTGAAACACCTGGTGCTTATCGTAGATCTCATACCAGCTTCCTTTCTTTTGGTAGAGCAGAATGCAGTGGTCTGGTGAGTATTTCTGGTAGAACTCTGGGCACACGTTGGTCGTGACTGCCCTCAGCCACAGCTGGGCTTTCACCTGCTCTACTGTCCAGTTCCCGATCACATCCAACTGCAGCGTGTCGGGGTTTTTGGTCGTTTTGTTAGTTGTAGGAAGCACAAACTCCAACGCTAAATGATCCATTGCTGCGGACGAGTTTGACGTAAACGCTTTCATTTTCCTCCTCCTCCTCCGGGTGTCACCTCGGCGAACTACAGGCGAGTCATCATCACTGACGTTCTGCTCCATAACCGATGCTGAAATTGTGTCGGGATAAAACATCCATCAGACAGACCGGTACCGCACAGCTTCGTCTTACAGTTAAATATAAAGGCTAGAACGGGTTCGAACGCAGGACGTCCTCTCCACTAAGTAGCACTCCTGAACCCTGACTCACAGCCACCTCCAACCAGAGGTGCTCTACATGTATTCTCAACGCACAGGAAGTCACAAAACAGGAAGTACTGAGATGTTAGTCCACACACTGAATCTGCACGGTGGTGTTTCTAGGCAGTAAAACAGCACAGTGCCTGACATCCGGTTACAGGGTTGAACACTCTGCCTACATCCTACCTGAGCTACACAACGAGACCGTTAGAGAAAGGCGCTGCAGATGAAACTCTGCAGGCCGGAAGTAACAGACCCGACTTCCGGCGTGGAAAGGATGTGAAAACTTACCGTTCAGCAAACACAGGGCCTGCTATACCCCCGGAGCCGGACCGACGGACCCCGAGACATGGGTGCGAAGAAGTCGTGTTTAATTCGCGCGAGAAACACTGCGGCTCTCCGAACCTTCCGCGAAGAACATCTGAGCTGTCACCCAGAACCGCAGTCTCCCCGCGCGCGCGGCTCCGCCCCTAACTCCGCCCCCTGGGGGAACATGACGTGCTCAGAGGCGCGGAACAATCACGCGCTCGGTGTCTACCGGAAATTTCGCCGATGTATTTTTACACACCGTGCTGTTGCACCTCCATTCATCTGCGCCCATGAAGTTAGAGGATCTGGACTGGGTTCTCTCACAGTCAAATGCACTCTTCCGCCATTTTGCTGATCACTGATGATGTCATTAGTCCATATTTTAGAGAAAGAAAAACAGCGGTCCCCTCCGAGTGAGAGGAAATCCCGAAGATTTTCTTCCGTTCTTTCCGTTTCTTTCTAACTGTTCGTTTTCATTTCTACTGGTGTGTCTGCGATAATTATTTATTTATATACCTAAGTTTGAGTTGCCGCTGCCCTTTGGCGCCCCCTACTGGTCGAGTGTATTGCAACATTTCTTTGCCTCTTGTGGCTTTCTCCCTTTTGTTCAAAAGAAAAGCAGCTTGATTTGACTAGAACATTACGGTGAATTTAATAATCTAATGATTAGATATGATAAATATAATATATAATAATAATAAATGTTATGAATATGATTTTTTTATACAATACTTTCTGATTAGAGTTTAGCATGGCAGAAAACGACATCTCAGCAGGTGAAAATATCTTGCGTCTAGTCAAAGATGTCTAATATTTCCTACTATAAGATCACACTGAACCAGATATACGTCCTACACAACACTGGCACAGTGAAATGAGAGACATCCTGCCATATAATTTTCCCTGAATAACCCCAGCTTCCTGACAACAGAGAAAATTATTACAGAGGAACAGCGAAAACCTTTTTTTTAATTATTATTATTGTTCAATAAATCAAAAGAGCCCAGGGCTATTTCTCTACAGTTTGATTCATTTCAAGCTTGGTGTAGTGCGCAGGTCCATCCATCCATTTTCTATACCACTTATCCTAGAGGGTCTCAGGGAACCTGGAGCCTATCCCAGGGAGCATGGTGCACAAGGACGGGGTGCCAGTCCATCACAGGGCACAATCACACACACACTCACACACTACAGACACTTTAGACACGCCAATCAGCCTACCGTGCATGTCTTTGGACTGGGGGAGGAAGCCGGAGTACCCGGAGGAAACCACCACAGCGCGGACAGAACATGCAAACTCCACACACACACACACACACACACACCACACACACACAGGGCCACGGTGGGACTCAAACCCCGGACCCTGGAGGTGTGAGGCGAACGTGCTATCCTGTAGTGGCAGCTAATTTGGCTCATTTGTCATTTATCTCGGGAAACAAGCGAAATAATCTGTCAATTATACGACAACCGAAAGCTTGAAAATATCAAGAAATTGGTTTAAGAATCTTATATTTGGTTTATAGTAACCGTAAAATGATAGACAGTAGACAAGTTGTTGTTGTATTCAAGATGTTTTCACTTTCTAAGGTGTCATTGCTGGCAGTGAGTGTTTAGCCATCCCATGTTTAACTCACGTTATGGGTTGTGTTGCCAGGTTAGGCATCAGTTAGTCATACTGAATGTGTCATGGTACGTCCAATTAGATTTACACCACATGTAAATACTGTAGACGTAATCTTTTCGATCACATTTAGGCTGTGTACTTGATTTAATAATGGTTGTATGATGTAGATAATTGATTTATGATTAGGCAGACTCTTTAGGATAATGCACAAAATGTGGCCAGTTTATTAGGTTTCTTGACTTTCACTACCGGATGTAAGGGTGCAGTGGCATACTGACTGCACATTCGAGGTAAAAGGTGTTAAAGGAGCCGTTGGTTACATGAACTGGTAATGAATAAGTCTTTCCTAAAGGCTCCAGTGTTTAGTTGTGCTAAAGTACTAGGGCTAATTATACAGAATTCATAACTGTCCACATGATTCGTAGTAAAGCCTGGGCTACACTGCCTAATTATCTGTCAACTCTTCCGAACTGCATGATTGCAAGCTACAAAATAAAACCTGACCTCCATCCTTCATACTGCAGGCAATAGGTTCTACATTTTCATTTTAAATTCAGCTAAATGAATTAAAGTAGTAGAGATCATGTCTGGTGGATGATCTGGTGGATGAATAAATTCTTTATTCTAATACTGGATTTTTGATTTACGTGAGCTGTCATCTCATCTTCAACCCCTTATTCCTGTCTTCAGGAACCTGGAGCCTGTCCCAGGACTCAATGGGCACACGGCAGGGTACACCAGGATGCCAGTCCATCCCAGAGCACAATCACACACACACACACACACACACACACACACAATTTAGCAATTTACCAATCATGCATGTCTTTGGACTGGGGGAGGAAACCGGAGTACCCAGAGGAAACCCCCGCAGCACACACGGCCCTGGCGGGAATCGAACCCGGGACCCTGGAGGTGTGAGGCGAACGTGAGGCGAACGTGAGGCGAACGTGCTAACCACTAAGCCACCGTGCATTAATCATTGAGATTTAAAAAAAAAAAGGTTTGAAATATTTCACTTTATGTGTAATGAATCTAAAATACATGAAAAGTTCCACTTTTTGAATTAAATTACAGGGGGGAAAAAGGAACATTTCCACGATATGCACATTTCTTGAGACGCACCTGTATACCTCCGTATACTCAGTGGAGTTTCTGAAGAAGGTGGCAATATTGTAATTAGTACCGAGTCATGTAAACATTCCCCCCAAAATAAAAAGATTCCCCAAAGCTCTCCAACGTGATACGCCTGGATTAAAAACATGCAGCACATTTCTGATTTTATTTTGGGGGGAATGTTTACCTGACTCGGTACTAATTACAACATTGCCAAATTTCCAGGCATATCACTTTGGAGAGCTTTGGGGAATCTTTTTATTTTGGGGGGAATGTTTACATGACTCGGTACTAATTACAATATTGCCGAATTCAAATTCTGGAAAACTGATGTGCATCGAAATGTAGTCATTGTTCCAAGTCTTAGTAAAAAGAGTGGAGATATTACAGCAGCCAAGGATGAATATCCGAAACTAAACTAAAGCCTCAGCAAGGGGGTGAATTAGCCGATTTGTTGAGAGCAATGAAAACACAAAAGATGTGTTCCAGGGCCAGGGTGGGATACCTGTGCCCTAGTGCATTTTAAATGGATAAACATATCCCTAATGAGCAAGCCAGAGACCATGGTGGTGAGGAGAAAACCTCTCTGAGATGATATGAGGAAGAAACCACACTCCTCATTTCTGTGACATCATCATCATAGGTGATAACAAATAGTGCCATTAGAAATCATTCCCTTTCCTTTCTATAACTGTTTACTACACAGGTCACTCTGATCTCGGGTTTCCCCCCCCCCCCCCTCTCCTAATTCTGTTAATAGCCCTGGGGTTCTTTCCAGTACACCCTTGGTAGCCTGTAAAGGGCACCTGGCTCTCCTGACGCTGCCTGCTAGAGGAAGTCGGTGTGACGTTCATATGAGGAAATTAAGGGACCGTCTCTAAAGTTACATACGACATTGACATATGTATGTAAATTATATATATATATATATATATATATATATATATACAGTGGTGTGAAAAAGTGTTTGCCCCCTTCCTCATTTCCTGTTCCTTTGCATGTTTGTCACACTTAAGTGTTTCAGAACATCAAACCAATTTAAACAATAGTCAAGGACAACACAAGTAAACACAAAATGCAATTTGTAAATGAAGGTGTTTATTATTAAAGGTGAAAAAAAATCCAAACCATCATGGCCCTGTGTGAAAAAGTGATTGCCCCCTAAACCTAATAACTGGTTGGGCCACCCTTAGCAGCAACAACTGCAACCAAGCGTTTGCGATAACGTGCAATGAGGCTTTTACAGCGTCCTGGAGGAATTTTGGCCCACTCATCTTTGCAGAATTGTCCTAATTCAGTTACATTAGAGGGTTTTCGAGCATGAACGGCCTTTTTAAGGTCATACCACAACATCTCAATAGGATTCAGGTCAGGACTTTGGCTAGGCCACTCCAAAGTCTTCATTTTGTTTTTCTTCAGCCATTCGGTGGTGGACTTGCTGGTGTGTTTAGGATCATTGTCCTGTTGCAGAACCCAAGTTCGTTTCAGCTTGAGTACACAAACAGATGGTCGGACATTCTCCTTCAGGATCTCTTGGTAGACAGCAGAATTCATAGTTCCTTTTATCACGGCAAGTCTTCCAGGTCCTGAAGCAGCAAAACAGCCCCAGACCATCACACTACCACCACCATATTTTACTGTTGGTATAATGTTCTTTTTAGAAATGCAGTGTTCCTTCTACGCCGCGGATATACTTGGACACACACCTTCCAAAGAGTTCCACTTTTGTCACATCGGTCCACAGAATGTTGTCCCAAAAGTCTTGGGGATCATAAAGATGTGTTGTGGAGAAATTGAGACGAGCTTTGATGTTCTTTTTGCTCAGCAGTGGTTTTCTCCTTGGAACTCTGCCATGCAGGCCATTTTGCCCCGCCCAGTCTTTTCCTGATGGTGGAGGCATGAACGCTGACCTTAACTGAGGCAAGTGAGGCCTGCAGTTCTTTGGAACGTTGTTGTGGGGTCTTTTGTGACCTCTTGGATGAGTCGTCGCTGCACTCTTGGGGTAATTTTGGGCGGCCGGCCACTCCTGGGAAGGTTCACCACTGTTCCATGTCTTCGCCTTGTGGATAATGGCTCTCACTGTGGTTCGCTGGATTCCCAAAGCTTTGGAAATGGCTTTATAACCCTTTCCAGACTGATAGATCTCAATTACTTTCTTTCTCAATTGTTCCTGAATTTCTTTGGGTCTCGGCATGATGTGTAGCTTTTAAGGATCTTCTGGTGGACCTTACTGTGTCAAGCAGCTCCTATTTAAGTGATGCCTTGATTGTGAACAGGTGTGGCAATAATCAGGCCTGGGTGTGGCTAGAGAAATTGAACTCAGGTGTGGATAGCCACAGTTATAGTACGTTTTAACAAGGGGGGCAATCACTTTTTCACACAGGGCCATGATGGTTTGGATTTTTTTTCACCTTTAATAATAAACACCTTAATTTACAAATTGCATTTTGTGTTTACTTGTGTTGTCCTTGACTATTGTTTAAACTGGTTTGATGTTCCGAAACACTTAAGTGTGACAAACATGCAAAGGAACAGGAAATGAGGAAGGGGGCGACAAACCTTTTCACACCACTGTATATATATATATATATATATATATTATTATATATGTGTGTGTGTGTGTGTGTGTGTGTGTGTGTGTGTGTGTGTGTGTGTGTGTGTGTGTGTGTGTATTGACCCCCTTTATGTATTCGTGAAGGTATTTTTGGTTCATGCATTGTACAGTTAAATATCACAAATCTAAAAGGTGTGTGTCGTACCTGACACCTAGTGCAACACTTTACAGTGGGTTATATGACTGTAAGGCATTCCCTTCAGTAACGTGTTTAACAATGTCGTATGTAACTTTAGAGACGGTCCCTTAATATCCACGAATATCGAACATCACACCGACTTTATTCCAGTCATATGGGACTTTATTCCAGTGATATGGGACTTTATTCCAGTCATATGGGACTTTATTCCAGGGATATGGAACTTTATTCCAGGGATATGGAACTTTATTCCAGTGATAGGGAACTTTATTCCAGGGATATGGAACTTTATTCCAGTGATAGGGAACTTTATTCCAGGGATATGGAACTTTATTCCAGTGATAGGGAACTTTATTCCAGTCATATGGGACTTTATTCCAGTGATATGGAACTTTATTCTAGTGATAGGGAACTTTATTCCAGTGATATGGGACTTTATTCCAGTGATATGGGACTTTATTCCAGTGATATGGAACTTTATTCCAGTGATAGGGAACTTTATTCCAGTGATATGGGACTTTATTCCAGTGATATGGAACTTTATTCCAGTGATAGGGAACTTTATTCCAGTGATATGGGACTTTATTCCAGTCATATGGGACTTTATTCCAGTGTTAGGGAACGTTATTCCAGGGATATGGAACTTTATTCCAGTGATAGGGAACTTTATTCCAGTGATATGGGACTTTATTCCAGTGATATGGAACTTTATTCGTGATAGGGAACTTTATTCCAGTGATATGGGACTTTATTCCAGTGATATGGAACTTTATTCCAGTGATATGGAACTTTATTCCAGTGATATGGGACTTTATTCGTGATAGGGAACTTTATTCCAGTGATATGGAACTTTATTCCAGTGATATGGAACTTTATTCATGATAGGGAACTTTATTCGTGATAGGGAACTTTATTCCAGTGATATGGAACTTTATTCCAGTGATATGGAACTTTATTCCATTGATAGGGAACTTTATTCCAGTGATATGGGACTTTATTCCAGTGATATGGAACTTTATTCCAGTGATATGGGACTTTATTCGTGATAGGGAACTTTATTCGTGATAGGGAACTTTATTCCAGTGATAGGGAACTTTATTCCAGTGATATGGGACTTTATTCCAGTGATATGGAACTTTATTCCAGTGATATGGAACTTTATTCCAGTGATATGGGACTTTATTCGTGATAGGGAACTTTATTCGTGATAGGGAACTTTATTCCAGTGATATGGGACTTTATTCCAGTGATATGGGACTTTATTCCAGTGATATGGAACTTTATTCCAGTGATATGGGACTTTATTCCAGTGATATGGAACTTTATTCCAGTGATATGGGACTTTATTCGTGATAGGGAACTTTATTCGTGATAGGGAACTTTATTCCAGTGATAGGGAACTTTATTCCAGTGATATGGGACTTTATTCCAGTGATATGGAACTTTATTCCAGTGATATGGAACTTTATTCCAGTGATATGGGACTTTATTCGTGATAGGGAACTTTATTCGTGATAGGGAACTTTATTCCAGTGATAGGGAACTTTATTCCAGTGATATGGGACTTTATTCCAGTGATATGGGACTTTATTCCAGTGATATGGAACTTTATTCGTGATAGGGAACTTTATTCCAGTGATAGGGAACTTTATTCGTGATAGGGAACTTTATTCCAGTGATATGGGACTTTATTTCAGTGATATGGAACTTTATTTCAGTGAAATGGGACTTTATTCCAGTGAAATGGGACTTTATTCCAGTGAAATGGGACTTTATTCCAGTGATATGGAACTTTATTCCAGTGAAATGGGACTTTATTCCAGTGAAATGGGACTTTATTCCAGTGATATGGAACTTTATTCCAGTGAAATGGGACTTTATTCCAGTGATATGGAACTTTATTCCAGTGATATGGGACTTTATTCCAGTGATATGGAACTTTATTCGTGATAGGGAACTTTATTCCAGTGATATGGAACTTTATTTCAGTGATATGGAACTTTATTTCAGTGAAATGGGACTTTATTCCAGTGAAATGGGACTTTATTTCAGTGATATGGAACTTTATTTCAGTGAAATGGGACTTTATTTCAGTGAAATGGGACT